GCCACCCAGGAGACCCGTGCCAGCCAGGAGACCTGTGCCAGCCGGGAGACCTGGGCCCCAAGAGACCTGTGCCAGCCGGGATACCTGGGTGCTGCCTCTGCAGTGGATGTTCTAGGAGCTCACAGTTTCCTAACTGCTTTATCAGGCACCCTGTGGTGCAGAGCTTTGCCCCAGGGGCCTACAGTGAATTCTAACTGCCCAACTAATGAGTCGCTGAGGATTTTCTAAAGAAAATAAAAATAATAATAATGATGATTATTTTTCGGAGACAAGGTCTCACTGTGTCATCCCGGCTGGATTGCAGTGGTCCCTGCAGCCTTGACCTCCTGGGCTCAAGTGATCCTCCCATCTCAGCCTCCCGTGTAGCTGGGACCACAGGTCCACCATGCCCAGCTAATTTTTTTATTTTCCGTAGAGATGGGGGTCTCACTATGTTTCCCAGGCTGGCCGTGAACTCCTGGACTCACGCTCGGCCGTTCCGGGGAGTCACTGTGCAGACTAAGGCTCGAAGTTTACGGAAAAGAAATCTCGCCTGCATCTGGATTTCTCTTTTTCCAGCTAAAAGTTACTAAAATCTAGTAGAACTAGTGTTCTGTGGAACGAGTTTTGCTCAAAGCCAATCCTTCCAAGTTGAATACGACGACGGCCTTTGAACCTCAAAAATACCCAACGCTCCAGCAGCTACCACCCCTGGAACTGCGGGCTGACTGCAGCGGACCGTTTGGTCTGACCTTTAGTGTTTCAGAAAAATGAAATCCATTTGACAGCACTTAACAACCGGGAGATTCCACAAGGTCTAGACTCTTTCTCTTGAACCTCAGGATCCTGGCCAGCCTGGGCCTCAGCTCTGCAGGGCGACCCTGCGGGCAGCACGTTCAGTTTGCCGCCACACCTGCCGCCGCCCTGCCCCGCAGGCCGACCCACCTTTGCTGCTGGTGTGCACAGAGACGGTGACGACCGCAGACCCGCGGGGTCGTGAAGCAAATGTGTCCTTCAGGCGCCAGCCCACCTTCCGCATTTTATTTTTAAGTAGCTCCGTGAATCCCCATCTGGCCTCGCGCCTACTCGGGGCCCTGTCAAGGCAAACGTTACGTGGGATCGTGGAAACTGGTCTGTTCCCAGTTTCTAGCAGCCCAGACTAGTTCTTAGAAAGGCCGTGCGTGGTACAAATCCTTAACCCCCAGCAAGAAATGTTCACGGAACGCGGAGAATTGTGGCCACGGCTGTCTGAGAACAGTGTGGGAGGAAGGGAGCCCCGGGCAGCCTGTGACCCGGACGTGGTCTCCCCCAAGGGACGTGGACGTCCCACTCAGGACCCGAGCCCTGCCCTGCTGTTCGTGCAGTGACGATGTCGACCCGTGGCAGGGCCGGGAGGCTCCCGGGAGTCGGGCGGACCTCCGCTGTGTATGTGGAGGGAAGGACCCGGCCGGGGAAGCCGAGGGTTCGGAAGGTTATGGTAGCGTCTGCAGTCTGCATTGCTGGAGTGCTGGAGCCCAGAAGGAATGCCGTCAGCCCTGAGTGGGAGGTGTGGGCCGCAGGGCGTGTGAGCTGGGGATTCCCGCCAGCTCTGTTCCCAGCACCTGGGAAGGTCACCAGCGTTGGATTCTGGTAAATTCTTCCTGGGTGTGGGGCTGAGTTCCCTCCCTGGGCCTGGCCTGGGAGGATGCCCTGGGATGGGCTCTCCCTCCGGTGGAGGCGGCGGCCAGCCTTGGTGGAGGAAGCATGGTTCCCCTCAGACATGATCTTGACAGTTGGTCAACATTTCCACCATGACCACATCGGTCAAACGCTCGCGTGGAACAGGCATGGCACAGGGCCCTGCGGCTCGGCCCCCCTTCCCCTGGGGTGTTGGCCTGAGACACAGGAGCCCTGTCGTGTTTACGGAACGGCACTAACCTTTCCTAAGAAGCCCCACCTGTGGCCTCGTGTCCCTTGGCCAGGGTGGAGGGACAGGGCGGTGCCCGCATTGCCCTTCTTGGCCTCTTACTGTGGGAGGCGTTGACGGCAGAGCCAGGGGGTCCTGGAGGCCGTGGGGGAGACTCGGAAACGGGGGAGTGGGAGGTGCCAGGGTGCACACAGCAAACCGGGGCTGAGCCCGGCCTGGGACACTGAGCCCAGCCACACCCACGGTGTGACTGTGGGTCCAGGGTGTGTGTGCCGGGGCCCCCCAGCCAGTGCAGGAGAGGCCTTTGAGCTGCTTACCTGAGAAGGGGCCACTGGGAGCTGGGACCCCGGGCCTCCGTCGCGTGGGCCTGGGCTGCTCTGTGGGCCCGTTCGCATCTGGGTCCCCACGGTCCTGAAGACTCAGGGTGGCCCTGAGAAGGCTGGAACTTCACCCCACTTTTCAGATGAGAAAACTGCAACAGACGGCGTTTGCGTCGCTGTAGGGGGCGGGGGAAGCACACGGGGTCTCGGGTCGTGGCAGTAGGTTGAAGAGCAGCCTGTGAACCTGAGTAAGACCCAAGTAAGAGCGTGCGCCTAGGGCTGACTGGACCCAAATCCGTGGGTGGGCGTGCGAGTGTTCTGAGGCACTTGGTGAGGAAACGCGCCCTGAGACTGCGTCTGCTGGCCTTGTTTCCTGATTAAAAACTGGTGTTGTGCTCCCCAGGTGCTGGGCCAGCTGCCACCCTGCTCACCCTCACAGACAGCCACAGGCCCGCCTGACACCCCCAGCCTGCGTCCTGCTGTGCTCTGGAGCCTCTGCCCTGCTTCTCCGAGGGGCCGAACAGGGCTGGGCGGTGGTCAGGGGCCCAGCTCCAGGCTTGGTCTCAGGTGTCCTGGCTCCCCCAGCCCCAGGCTCCCACCACGTGCAGAGCAGAGCCCCCGGCACTGGGACAGGAATGGGGAGTTCGTGGAGCCAGGAGGTGCCTTCGACCCGGGCTGTTCACATGGAGACTGGACCTCCTGCCCCCGGCCCGGGCTCCCTCTCTGCCCAAGGCCAGGACAGTGCTTGCGTGTACTAAGCGTGGTTGCTCTACTGCCTGAATTAATGAATGAATGAACAAGCGAGTGGACGGGACCCAGGAGCCCTGGGCTGAGCCACCGACGCTGGCCCCTAAGGAAGTCACTCACTCTCTGGGCTCCGTGTGCCCATCTATAAGTGGGTGAGCGTATGACCTCCAGGTCTCCCTCGTCACGGGAGAGCCCCACGGATTCCAGGCCTGGGTGACAGCAGCAAGGGAGTCCCACTGAGCAGCAGCCAGGTCCCGTGGGGAGCCAGCACCCCCGAGAGCAGCTAACGGGGTCCCTGTTCCCCGCAGGGCATCTGCCTGCCCCTCGACTTAGGAACCCAGACCCAGGCCTCGTGCTGCTGGGAGGGCCCCTGACAACCCCAACGTCCACTGGGTCCTGGAGAAGCCAGGCTGGGAGTTGGGTGGACCCGGCGCTGGGCCATCCAGGGGTTCTTTACCCCACCCTGCTCCTTCACCCCACCCTGCTTTAGGGGCAGGCTCAAAGCAGCCTGTCCTGGGCCTGGGGCACTTACGCAGCATTAAATCCCCACGGTCAGCATCCAGCAGCCCCTCACTTTCTATGTAGAGAAACGGGGACAGCGAGGGGGCAGCTGCCGACCAGCGTCCACTGCGGGCGAGGTGCCCCAGCTGGGGCTCTGCGTTGGCTGTCACGGGCGGGGCACCCGAAGTTCCAGCAGCGTTCGCCTCTGCTCACTGGGCTGGGGGGTTTGCAGGGGGCAGAGGTTCATCTTCGCTGCGGCATCTGGGAAGGTTTTGTGGAGTTTGCCTTTGAGCCGGGCCTTGAAAATGACTTGGCACTTGAAGCTTCAACCAACAGACCTCAAAAGTACCGGGTGTGGGAACATGCTGTGCACACACAGAATGAGTTCCACAGTCCGTGTAGGGCTGGACACCGTGCGTCCAACGGCCTGTCTGCAGGCCTTGTCAGAGCCTTTATGACGCGCGTGTGGACGGGGAAGACCTGGCGGGGCGGGCGGGAGGAACTGCTGCCCAAACTCCAGCCTTCTCTGACCGATGACTTCTTGAGTGCTGAGAAGTTGAGGCCCGGCCGTCTGTAAGACACTCAGGAAATGCTAACAGCCGTCTGGAGACGTGAAGGGAAGGTCGTCCCAGGAGGGTGGAACAACATGCACAAAGACAGGAGTGTGGAGGGCCAGGAGACAAGCGTGGGAAGCAGCTGACAGCCGTGACGCCAGCTCGAGAGACGGGAAGCAGCTCAGTGGGAACTGAGGCCGAGCGGCGGGTCCTGCAGACCGGGGTGCCCTGCTGGACGGGAGGAGGGGACATTGGAAAAGGGGTCAGGTCACCTGTTCCAGGCTTCAGAAAGGACCCACGGGCAGCCCCCAGAAAGCCCCCAGCCTCCCTCACGTCCCTTCCTGGGAGCTGGCGGGCAGCAGAAGCAGGTGTGAGGGGCAGCTGGTCCGACCTGACCCTGGCCTCCGGGCCCACACCGGGGGAAGTCCGCCTCGTTTGTGGAGGGGGCTCCTCTTGCACCAGGGCCTGCCCCTCCCCGTGTGTGGGCCCTCGCGGCCCACGCTCTGCCTGAATCTCTGGGCTCCAAGCAGGAGCGGCTTCTCGGGAGAATCCGTTTGGCTGGTGGCGTGGACCTGGGGTGGGCTGTAAATATTTAATAACCAGCTCCCTGGGCGGAATAAGCCTGATCTGCAGTTTGCCCGTTTCCGTGGTGTGAGAACTGCCCCCCGGGCTGATTTTGAGGTCACTGGCGTGAGGTTGGGAGCACACGGGGTGCTGCTGCTAGAGGGGACTTTGGCTCTCGGCTGCAAGAGACAGAAACCCCTAATCAGGAAGGGACGAGACCCTGGTGCCTGTCGCTTCTGAAAGGAATGTGTTTAACGTAAGCTGATGTCGTTTAATTTTTAATGATGATTGTGTTTCTTGACAGTGAGCAACACCCTTAGAAAGAGAACAGCGGGCTCTGGAGGGCCAGACCCGGCACGTCCCGCCTCCTCTGGCACCCAGAGGTTTTCTCGGTGACAAACCGTTTCCGTTTCTGTCCTGTTTTCGCAGACAAACGAGGGAGCAGGAGACGCCCCCTGACTTTTTTTATTTCTCTGACTACGAGAGGCACAACGCGGAGATTGCAGCCTTCCACCTGGACAGGTGAGCCCTTCCTCCGTCCGCGCTCCTGTGCGCTCAGACCCACCGGTGAGCCGGGCCATCCTGCGCTGGACACGGCAGGACGTCGTCGTCACCTTGGTCACCATCAGGCATCGCTGGTGCCTGCTCTCCCCCCACCCCGAGTGCTGCCCTGACCAGACCCGGTGTTCCTGTAGCCCACACAACACGTGGTAGGGAGACCCTTTCGTATCCCCCCTCACAGACGAGAAACTGGGGCAGTGAGAGGCGATTTGCCCAGATCCCCGTGCTCCTAACCGTCCCTCTGTCACGGAGGGAGAGGATGCCCTCAGGGTGCCTTAATCCGGATGGGCCCCTCCGGCACCCCCACCGTTAGGGCAGACGGGAGGTGCAGTAGCTGCTGTGCGGTCCGTAATAGAGGAAAAGGCAAGAGGGAAGGAGGCAGGGAGGGAAGCGGGAGTATTAAGTGCCGTGAATCTTAACACGGAGAGTCACAGACGTCTCCGGGAGACCAAAGCAGGCTTCCCGAGGAGGAGGAAGCCACGTTCGCAATGAGGGGGCCGGGAGGCCCCGCGGTCGCCTGTCTCCGCTGCCCCAGCCCAGCAGAAACTGAACCCACTGTGAGGGTCAGCTTGGCCCTGCTGCTGGGGAAGTGGGGGGTCCGTGTTCAGTACCCTCCAGGGGCAGTTCACGGGCCTGGCCCTGGGTCCAGAGGGGCCCCGTGGGTTGAGGGACCTTGCCCTGGTGCAGTGGAGGGAGGAGGCGCCACCCTCAGCCCCCTAGAACGTCCTTGCCTGCCCTGCGGGGCCCTGACATGTCCCAGCCCGGGGTGCGGCCCCAGAGCCGGCAGCACTGGCATTGCCCTGGACCAGTTGGAATGCAGAGTCCTGGGCTCCACCCAGACCTGGGACCAGAATCTGCATTTTCACAAGATCCCTAGTGACGCGGGCGCACGTTGGAATTTAAAGGGCTTTTTGGTTTTTTTTTTTTTTTTTTTTTTGAGATGGAGTCTCGCTCTGTCGCCCAGGCTGGAGTGCAGTGGCCGGATCTCAGCTCACTGCAAGCTCCGCCTCCCGGGTTCACGCCATTCTCCCGCCTCAGCCTCCCGAGTAGCTGGGACTACAGGCGCCGCCACCTCGCCCGGCTAGTTTTTTGTATTTTTTAGTAGAGACGGGGTTTCACCATGTTAGCCAGGATGATCTCGATCTCCTGACCTCGCGATCCGCCCGTCTCGGCCTCCCAAAGTGCTGGGATTACAGGCGTGAGCCACCGCGCCCAGCCTAAAGGGCGTTTTTAAGGATCAGAGTCTTCTGTGGTGACTACAGAAATCGCCAGAAGCCCGATTTTCAACCATTTCAGCTATCTAGAACAGCCTGAACCCATAAAAGGGCTTTTCTATGAAAAGAAAGACAGTGGCCGCCAAGCCAGGGAGGGTCACTCGTTAGGAAACAGCTCCCCTCAGATCCACCTGTTTACAAAGCAGGGCACAGAGCCCGGTGCCCAGGCGAGCCGTCTGACAGGTGGAGGGGCAGGTGCTCCACACAGAGGCATGGTCGGGCCCTGGGCCCCGGGTCGGCCCTGGCAGATGGCCCACGTTCCTCCACACCTGGTCATCTCGCCTCACAGGATAATCACCACGTCCTCCTCGCCCTGCGTTCTCCACTTAATTAAGCGAGTGGGAGCCTGCGGTGTGGTTCAGAGAGAGTTCCATTAAAAGTGGTGCCTTTAATTTAATTTCGTTTTAAATTTAGCCCTGGAATGAGGGCAGGCTTTAGCTATGTGGGCAGTTGGCGGTGTGTGCCCATCAGTGAGACGACGCCAGCCCCGGTCCCTCAGGGGCCTCTCCCACCCCCATCACCGCAGGGCCAGGCAGAGCCCCCGGGCCTAGGGCTGGGTTTATTCAGAGGCAGGGAGACAGAGGCAGGCTCAGCCACACAGAGCGCAGAGCCTCCCACACCCCTTTCTTGCCAGGATCCTGGACTTCCGCCGGGTTCCTCCCGTGGCCGGCAGAATGGTCAACATGACCAAGGAGATCCGGGACGTCACACGGGACAAGAAGCTCTGGAGGACCTTCTTCATCTCTCCAGGTAGCCTGGCACGGGGGCCCACATTCATCTCTCCAGGTAGCCTGGCACGGGGGGCCCACATTCATCTCTCTAGGTAGCCTGGCACGGGAGCCCACATTCATCTCTCCAGGTAGCCTGGCACGGGAGCCCACATTCATCTCTCCAGGTAGCCTGGCACGGGGGCCCACATTCATCTCTCCAGGTAGCCTGGCACGGGGGCCCGCACCGAACCCACAGTGATGGGGCTTGAGTACCTCTAACTAAAAGAAACCACGTGCAGTGCCGTTCCCAACCCACCTCCCACGTAGGGTGCCCTGTGTCCCCTTCCACACCAGGTGCCGAACCACAGACAGCTTCAAGGTGGCACCATCACCATTTAACCGACGTCCTGCTGTGCACAGAGAGGCCGTTTCTTCTTCCATTTGTTTGTTTATTTTAACTGGTGAAACGATTCACTTTCGGGAGGTCCTAGCCTCTCCAGGGAGCCTTCTCCAGGTGGCCCAGCCAGCAGACCTCCCTGGGACCTCCCCACCCAGATTTAAACACACCCAGCAGAACCCCCATCGTATAGCAACAGGGTGGGCGGCCTCCTCGGCCTCGGTGAAGCAGCTGGACTGTGAGCAGGGCTGGCCCCGGTCCTCAGTCCCTGGTGCCCTTGAGGGGATACAGGATGGCCTGAATGTCAGGTGGGAATAGATGTCTCTGTTGGTGCTGAGGTTTATAAAACCTTCAAGACTCTACGTGATAAGTACAGTGCACACACAAACACACTATTTTCTACTTAATTATCTACCCAGGTTGCTTTAACCCTGACATTTGGGCTGGGCATGGTGGCTCATGCCTGTAATCTCAGCATTCGGGGAAGCCAAGGGGGGAGGGTCACTTGATTTCAGGAGTTTGAGACCAGACTGGGCACCATGGCCAGACCCCTGTCTACAAGAAATAAATAAATTGGCAGCCGTGGTGGTGCTTGTCTGTGTTCACAGCTACTCAGGAGGCTGAGGCAGGAGGATTGCTTGAGCCCAGGAGTGGAGGCTGCTGTGGGTGGGGATGGCTCCAGTGCCCTCTAGCCTGGGCAAGAGAGTGAGACCCTGTCTCAAAAAAAAAAAAAGAAAAGAAAGAAACTGGCATTAGCGGCTCCGCCAAGGGCTCAGTCCTCCCCTCCGAGCGCCTCCCTGGTGCCAGGCCCCTGCTTCACAGCCTGTTCCCATTTCCGCCGCTCACCTGCCGAGCTCTGGGATGCTCCCCTGCCTGTCCTGAACTCGGTCCCCTGCGTTTCCATCTTGAAGGTCAAGAGTGGTCCCAGCGTTGGTGGGTACTGCAGAATGAAGGCGCCCAGTTGTCACCCCAGGAAACCCCGCAGAGCAAGGACCCCGCTCGGGAGGGGCCCTCCGGGTTGGAGGCTCTCGCTGTTGGGGGCCTCAGCCGCTCTCCTGGCCCGTCTGTTTAATTCATGCAGATAAAATCCAGTTAGGGCCCCTGATTAGCTGCGTCTTCGGATTTGCTGGCACATAAAACCTTGACCTGAAAGCTCATTTTCTGCAGATGTTTCAGATCGATGTGCGGACTCTGCACTTTCTCTTAACTGCATTCATGAATTTGTCAGAACCAGGCCTCTGAATCCATGATTTAATTAAGTTTCGTTCCGTCAGCCGGGGCTCACCGAGATCCTCGTTTGTTTTCTTCCTCTCAAAGCCCATTAATAAGAGAAAAATAGGACAGAAAGCTCCACAGAGGCAGGAAGAAGGGCTCCCTTCGCTGGCCCAGCGGTGCCTGGCCCCACACACCAGGAATCGGGGCAGAGGCAGAGCCTGAGTGTGGGGGTCTTTGAGGGCTCCCCGGTCCGCTGTGCCTGAGCCAGGCACACCCCAGTGATGAGGAACACATTGGCTCACAGATAGTTCAGTCCCTGTTTGGATGGCTTGAGCTGTCCATCTTTTCTAAGGGGCTGAAACTCGCCTCCCCACCCTGGGAGTCCAGGGCTTCCTAAGCACGACTGAGCTCCGGCCGCTGTCAGCCGTTGGATGGACCCTGACTGCACCGTGCGGGCACCGCCTCCTGCCCCACCGTTCACAGGACTGACCAGCCTGCAGCCCGCCATGCACACCCTGGTGCCTGCTGAGGCTGGGCTCCACCCCGGTGATGCCTGGATGCCTGACTGCTTCTTATCCACGTCGTTCTACAATTTTTTATTGCAACTTTTACAGTGATGGATTCCAAAGGTTCTAAAGATTGACATTCTCCATCCTCAGGTGCCAGCACCCCGTGCAGCGACGGCGGGAATTCCTCCAGCTTAGGCTCGATTCTCTGCATTGCAGACCAGGCTGTCAGTTCAGGACCAACTGAAAGAGACGGTCACAGGGTCAGTTCAGGACCGACTGAAAGAGACCGTCACAGGGTCAGTTCAGGACCGACTGAAAGAGACGGTCACAGGGTCGCGCAGGGAGGGGTCAAAGAAACCCATTGATGCCGAGAACGTGCCCTGCCTGGCCCTGCTCCGAGCAGCATCTCCGGAACTCCTCACTTCGCTGTAAAACGAGCCTGTGGGGTCAGGTTGCTCCCTCCCCATTTTTAAGGTCTTACTGAGTGACTGGGCACAGAGGCTCATGCCTGTAATCCCAGCACTGGGAGGATCACTTGAGCCCAGGAGTTCCAGCTCAGCCTGGACAACAGAGCGAGACCTCATCTCTACAAAAATGAAAAAATCAGCCAGGTCTGGTGGCGTGCACCTGCGAGTCCAGCAACTCGAGAGGCTGAGGCAGGAGGATGGCTTGAGCCCAGGAGGTCAAGGCTGCAGTGAGCTGTGATTGCACACCACTGCTCTCCAGCCTGGGTGACAGAGTGAGATCCCGTCTCAAAAAAAAAAAAAAAAAAAAAGAAGACTGAGTCGATTATCAGACCGAGCAGGTGTATTAAGTCACTTCTACGTCCCATGTTGGCTGACGCTTGGAATCCCCAGGTTCTCAGCAGGCCAGGGACGGTGGTCACCGGAGCACCCCTGAGCTCTGCACTGCAAGTCGGCCGTCGACCACCATTGCTGCCATTGCTGGACTCCGTTCTCACATCTCCCTGGAGCCACCACTTTGATTACGCGTTCTGGCAGCTTCCCTGGCCACTCCTGGTTTCTGGATATTAGTTGCATTTTCCAGGGCAGCGCAAGTTTCTCCCCTAAAATCCCAAGATGTCTTCGGCCGCCAGAGGCCCCAACAGTTCGGTCTCCCTGCCCAGATAGACGAGTCCTTGAATCTCCCAGAGCAGCCGGGCCCAGCATTGCCGGGCGCCTCGGAACGCAGCCCCCAGGACCCCACTGCTGCCACCCACTCTGGCCACTCTGCCCTGTCAGTCCGATTTCTTCCAGAAGCCTCTATGAACACTTGGCTTTCTCTAAAGCAGCAGGGAGCGGCGCAGGAGCCAGCCTGGATTCCTCTTCCAGAGAACAAAATCTGTTCCGATTCGTTTGCTCCACTTTGCTTTGTGTATATCTCCCGACCGCGGATACCAGGTGACCTCAGAGGCTCTGCAGGAGCCCCGGGCACCTCAGAGGGCTGAGCCCACTACAGTCACCCCCTCGGCCTCCCGTGGCCTGAATGACCCTCCCATGGGGTCAGTCAGAAAAGGGAAAAACCCATCAGCCAGGGCAAGGTGAGAGAACGAGAGGCAGCCCGGACCAGTGCTTGGGGAAGGTGGGCTCTGGGAGGGGGAAGCAGGAGGGTGAGCCCTAAGCAGCCCCCTGCCCCACGTAGGGATTGTGGAGCTCAGGTTCGGAGAGGGCAGTTAGGATCCCAGCACCGCACAGCCGTGTAGGGGCCGGGCCGCAGTCAGAGCCTACCTCTCCTAAGCCCCAGACGCTCACGGAACTCCCTCCCCCACTTCTCATGTAAGTTACCATCTGCACATTGCACACATCCCAGAGGTGCACAGGTCGTCCACGCACAGCTTTGCGTTTCTGCAAGGTGAGCGCCCCCAGGACCAGGCCCAGGTGCCCTGAAGCTCCAGAAGCCACTCAACCCGACACAGCCTGGACAGAAGGGTTTGCCATCACTCGCTTCGCCTTTTTTCGTGCCACGGTGGCCTGGGCTTGGCAGAGTGATCATCGGGACTCTCTCCAGGGCTGTGTCCAGCTTAAACGCACATTGCAGGTGGCAGGTTTCCAGCTATGGACCCGCTTCGCGCAGCCAGAGCCGCTGCCCTAAATAACAGTGTCCGCTGGGCCCACAGCTGTCCGGGGTGGCAGGTGGCAGACGTCCGCCTTTCAAAACTCTCCTCCTGCCGGGCCAGCGCCCAACACAGTCAGAGAGAGGAATGGTCAGAGATGCTCCAGCCGCAGGGTGAAGGGGCCGTCTTGGTCCTTGTCAGGAGCCACACTGTTGCCCAGCTTGCTCTCCAGGAGGCCAACTGCGACGCCATTTTCGGGCAACTGGAGGAGGCAGGATCTCTCCTGGGTGTGTCCGGGACCCTGGCTTTCTCCCTGCTGTTTGTGTCTTTTATTATTCACTAAAATGGAAAAGGACTCACACTCCTTCCTCCCAGAAAGCCCAGCCCTCCAAGTGCAGGGCAGCCTTCGTTACTTGACAGGTGCCTTCCCGCGGCTTCCTTGTGTGATTCCCAGCCCGGGATGCAGGCGTTGCTGGGACCCCCACTTCCTGGGCGAGGGGCTGGGCACGGAGCAGGGAGGCACTCGCCCGAGGTCACACAGCTCAGGGCCCTTCTAACCCCACCCGGGAGGCCCCTTTAATACCCGACTTGGATCTGCAAAGAGGAATGGCCGGGGGCCCAAGAAATGCCTTTCTCTTTTAACCTGATACCATCTGAAACCGGCTTAGCCAAGGACGGCAGACGCATTTTAAGCCTCCAGCCAATGAGTGCTCAGATGAAGATTTTGCTTCTGAAATGGAGCTCCTGCCCCGGGGGGCTGCCTCGTCCGACTGTGGGCTGCTGATTAATCTGTATCAACACGCAACAGGATTGCAGCTGGTCTTTCTTTGATCGTTCTTACAGTAATTACCCAGCGTTGGCACCGGGGAGAGGGGGCGCGGGAAGGAGGGGGCAGGCAGGTGATCGGGGCGTTGGGGCCAGACCAGCCAGGACCTGCCGGGTGCGTGGGGTGTGGTGGGGACCAGGGCGGCCTGGGACTCACCCCATTTCCTCTCAGAACCTCAACTTATTCAGCTAAAAAAGGGCAGCCCATATGGGCCGCCCTCCTGTTCAGTCCTCTGGGAAGGGCCCTGCTGAACCTGTCTTCAGATCCCATGGGGAGCCTGCCCTGCAGCCTGGAGGCTCCAGGAACACCCCGAGGGACCCTTGGAATCACTCAGCCCGGCTGCCTGGCTCAAGGAGGGACCCCTTTGGCTGAGACGTCAGCCGGGTGCTCAAATGGCAGAAATGCTGGGACTGGGGGTGCTGTGAGTGAGGTTCATGGCTCTGGTCCCGACCAAACCACGTCCTCACCAGTTCTACAGCCCCAGACTTTCCAGCGTTTCTCCACACACAAATAAAGCATGAAAAACGATTCAGTCAGCAAATAAAGTCAGGAATAGCGCTGTCGGCTGGGCCTCCAGCATCAGAGCGGTGAACCCCCACTGCTAGCAGGCCTGGACGGCTCTTGCATTTTTCTCATTATTTTTTATTTATTAAGGTATATAATTCATGTTACCACGAAATTTACCACTTGAAAGCGTACAGTTCCATGGCTTTTAGTATATTCACAATGGTGTGCCACCATCACCACCGTCTGAATCCAGAATTTTGGGGTCTTCCCAACCCCAAAAAGGATCCCCGTTCCTGTGAACAGACCGTCTCTGTTCTTCGCCCCGCAGCCCTCGGCGGCCAGTCCCTCCCCCAGTCTGTCTGGATTTGCCTGTTCCGGGCGTTCTGTATCAAGAGGGCCGTAGGACGTGTGGCCTCCTCTGTCTGGCCTCCTTTGTGGAGCACAGGGTCCTCGGGTTTCGTGAGGGCTTCATTCCTTCTCTCGTTTCATTTCGTTTCGTTTCATCGTGAGGATGGACCACGTTCACCTGCTGTCCACTCCTCTCTTGATGGACATTTGGGTCGATTCTCTCTTTTTCAGCCGTGGTGAGCAGTGCTGCTGTGAGCATTCGTGCCCGAGTTTTTGTGTGGAAATGTTTTTTCTGCTCTTAGGGGTTTACGTGGGCGGGGAGTTCCTGAGTCACACAGGGACGCTGTGTTGAATCCATCAGGGGCTGCAGACCATTTCCGCCGTGGCTGCACCGTGTGTGCCCCCCCCCCGCCGGCAACACACAGAGGCGGCGGCTCCCCGTCCCAGCAGACAGGAGGTGGTGCCTCACTGTGGTTTTGATTTGCATCTCCCTGGTGACTCACGATGGCGCCCGTCTCTTCTCATGCTTGTCGACCATCGGCGTGGTCTTTGGAGAATCATCGGTTCAAGCCCTCCATCCGTGTATTAGTTGGCATTTCGTCTTTTTGTGATTGAGTGATGAGAGTCCTTCATCCCCCCTCGATGCTAGATCCTCAGATGTGTGGTTTGCAAACATTTCCTCCCATTCTGGGCATCTTCACTTCCTTGACAATACGAATGCATTTTTAAGCAACTAAACGTCGGCCCTAGGATGTCCATAGACCCACCCCTGATGTTCGAGGGGTCAGGCCGGGATCTGCCTCTGGGGAGCTGTGTGGCCTTGGGAAGTCGGCTCTGTGGGTTCACTTTTCCATACTGTGCGGTGGAGGTGTTTGCTGGGATTGATGGGGGAGCTGTGGGTGAGTCCTGCCCGTGAGAAGCACCAGGCAGAGCCCGGCCCGGCCTTGGGGGCCGTGAGACCACAGGTGAGGACGCCGCCCTGTGTGGCCCAGGTAACCTGCAGCCTGTCCCTCCCCAGCCAACAACATCTGCTTCTACGGCGAGTGCTCCTACTACTGCTCCACGGAGCATGCCCTGTGCGGGAAGCCGGACCAGATCGAGGGCTCGCTGGCAGCCTTCCTGCCCGACCTGTCCCTGGCCAAGAGGAAGACCTGGCGGAACCCTTGGCGGCGCTCCTACCACAAGCGCAAGAAGGCCGAGTGAGTGTGGGGCCGGGGGCTGGCTCCTGGCCACCCGGCAGCGGAGGGAGCTGGGCCTGGGCGGGCGTGGGACGGTCACAGGGGTGGCAGAGATGGGTGCAGAGCCTGCTGTGCGATGCTGGCCTGTGGGAGACGACCGCTTCCTGACGAGACAGTGACCAAGGGCTTCCTTACTCCGGTAATTCCATGCACTTCCCTGACCCGGGCCGGCCTGCCCACCAGGTCCCTCAAACTGGGGCCTCTCAGCGTTTGAGCTCTGCTCTCCCCGCTGCCCCTCTCCTCCCTCCTGCGGGAGAAACGGCCCCTGTTCTTTCCGCCCAGTGGTGTCCTCGTGAGTGTGGCGTCCAGGTCCTGTTTCTCCACAGAGACCCTGCAGAAAACACGGGGCCCAGAGCTGAAGGCAGCTCCAGGTGGGGTCACCCCGGGGCAGGGTAGAGCGAGCCCGTCCCCTCCCACACCCATGCTCCCACTGATGCAGCCTCAGCACTGCGGCCGAGGCAGGTCCATCTGCAGACGCCAGGGTCCCTGCCGCAGCGCTTCTCCTGTGCTCCTCGTGGCGCACCGGGCTCCCCGTCTGCACAGCAGAGCCCGGCCGGCTCACGCTGGCTCCCTGCAGGTGGGAGGTGGACCCTGACTACTGCGAGGAGGTGAAGCAGACACCGCCCTACGACAGCAGCCACCGCATCCTGGACGTCATGGACATGACAGTCTTCGACTTCCTCATGGGTACGTCCCGCAGGGGAATGGGGTCCCCGTGTCACCCGCCCTGCGAGGAGCGGACGCACCCAGGGCTCTGCAGGGCACGGTCCGTGGTGCGGCCCAGCCGCGGTCCCGTGGCCTGGGGAGGGCCCAGATTGCTTAGCAGTCACGCTGGGAGGAGGAGACGCCGCTCTGCAGGGCACAGAGGCCTCTGAGCTACAGGGCCCGGCTTCCCACAGGCTGTGATGGTTTCTGCTTCTTTCCACAGGAAACATGGACCGTCACCACTACGAGACGTTTGAGAAGTTTGGGAACGAAACGTTCATCATCCACTTAGACAATGGAAGAGGGTGAGCCTGTCCTTGCCCTGCACACCCGGGAAAGGGCAGCCGCCTCCAGGCCCAGCTACCTGCAGCCCAGCCGAGACCCCGGGAAGTGGGGAGCAGACCCTCCAGTGGAGGGATGAGAAAGCCACAAGGCCCATCTTGGAGCCAGATGCAGGGGGTAGCCCCGGGCCCCAACCAGGACGGAGGGCCACCCCAGGAGCGGGACCTCCGAGGCACAGGAACGCTGCAAACCAAGTCCTAGCAGACCTGGTGTTACCCGGGAAACAGGCTGGGAGAGGCTGCTGGTAGGAAGAGCAGGCCCGTGCCGAATAGACGGCCTGTGCGTCCCCCTGCGGCTGCTGCTGGCCTGCCACGGGCGGTCTTGGGCGGCACGATGAGACCCTGGTGACCAGGGAGGGTGACCCCTAATAAACAAAGCACGAGGCGAGTAATTTGGGCAGGAGGACGTCCATTCCCAGGCTCGGAGGTCTCAGAGATGGGCCTTAGGCTTGTGTATGTGGCTGTAAAGACGGCTCCACGGCTAAGCTGTGGGCTGACGCTCCCTGGAGCCATCTCAACTCGGCTGCCCAGGACCCTTCCCCAGGCCAGAGACCAGGACCCCACATACAGGGCTGGGGACAGGCGGGGGTGGACCCATTGCCTGGGGTGCTGGAGACCTGGGGGGTGGACCCACCGCCTGGGGTGCTGGAGACGGGCGGGGTGGACCCACCTCCTGGGGTGCTGGAGACGGGCGGGGTGGACCCACCGCCTGGGGTGCTGGAGATGGGGGGGCGGGGGTGGACCCACCGCCTGGGGTGCTGGAGACGGGGGGCGGGGGTGGACCCACCGCCTGGGGTGCTGGAGACGGGGGGCAGGGGTGGACCCACTGCCTGGGGTGCTGGAGACGGGTGGGGTGGACCCACTGCCTGGGGTGCTGGAGACGGGCGGGGTGGACCCACCTCCTGGGGTGCTGGAGACGGGCGGGGTGGACCCACCGCCTGGGGTGCTGGAGACGGGGGGCAGGGGTGGACCCACTGCCTGGGGTGCTGGAGACCAACGGGGTGGACCCACCTCCTGGGGTGCTGGAGACGGGTGGGGTGGACCCACTGCCTGGGGTGTTGGGGACAGCCAGGGTGGACCCCTGTCCCGGCTCCCAGCCCGGCAGCCTGTTAGGAGCCTTGTACAGAGGCCCTTGACAATTCTGCTTTTGTTCTGGAAGGTTTGGGAAGTATTCGCATGACGAACTGTCCATCCTGGTGCCGCTACAGCAATGCTGCAGGTACAGCCCCTGCCGGAGCTGGCTCCAGCTCCACCCTCCTCCCCCTTACACAGGAGATAGAGGAGGCCACGGCCGTCCCCGCCCCGCCCCGGCCATCACACTGGGAGAGGAAAGAAAGGCCCTGAATTCAACCACAGCCCCGAATCCAACCCACACCCTCACCATGCTGCCTGGAGGCGCAGACCTCACCTGCTCACCCCCACAGGCCCATCCAGCGCGCGCCCTCTCGGGCCTCCACTCTGTGTCCATCCTGCCACCCCAGTTACAGAGAGAACTCGAGGCCAGGGCAGACTCTGACCGAGACACAGAGACCCTGCTCCCCGGCGTGGCTGCCGGACTCTGCCATTGCCACTGCCACCTTCTACGGGGGTTCAGACCCCCTTCCCCCCCCCCCCATGGCTGGGGACGCCGCCTATAGGGCAAACGCTTTGTCCTTCTCTAACGAGGCATCAGAGCACCCGTGTTGGGCAAATGTGCTGAGTTGGGGTCAGTGTCCTGGGTGAGCGGGCCGTCCTCCTCACTCCCCATCCTTCTGCCGGACCCCTCTGGGAAGTACGTCAGCCACCGCATCTTGCAAGGGCACCCTCATCCCTTGTGCAGATGAGAGGCTGCAGATCGCCCTGGAGCAGATCACACAGCCCAGTGACTGACGAGGCATCAGATCGCAGGCCCCTCTCTCGTGGTCTCTCTCATCTCTGCTGTCTCTGTCTGTCTCAGTCTGCCTGTCTCTGTGTCTCTTTCTGTCTGTCTCTCTGTCTCTGTCTCTCTCCCTTTCTCTCTCCCTGCTTTCTCTCTCTGTCTCTTTCTCTCTCTGTCTCTCTTTCTCTGTGTATGTCTCTTTCTCTCTCTCTCCGTCTCTGTCCCCCTCTTTCTCTCTCTGTCTCTTCCCACTCACTCTCTGGCTCTCCCTCTCACTGTCTCTCGCTGTCCCATGGCCAGGCCTCTCCCCTGTCCCGTGCCAGGCCTGACGCCCCTCTCCTCCCCAGGATCCGGAAGTCCACCTACCTGCGTCTGCAGCTCCTGGCCAAGGAGGAGTACAAGCTGAGCCTGCTGATGGCCGAGTCTCTGCGGGGGGACCAGGTGGCACCTGTGCTGTACCAGCCGCACCTGGAGGCCCTGGACCGGCGGCTCCGTGTCGTGCTGCAGGCCGTCCGGGACTGCGTGGAGAGGGACGGGCTCCGCAGCGTGGTGGAGGATGACCTGGACACTGAGCACAGAGCTGCCTCGGCGAGGTAGTGTCCACCGGCCGCCGCGCTGCCCGGGACGGAGCCAGAGGGGCCGGGCCTCCCAAAAAGCGCACGTGCCCGCGCCCGTCGTGAATTCAGTGAATTCAGAGGCAGGACGAGATCAGCGGAGTCGGGAGCTGCTGCCTCGGGAGGCGAGGTTCCCCAGGTCTAATGGGACACATTTTGTCAGTGTTCGACCAGAAAAGGTTGGGAAGGAGGCGCTGTCTGTGCTCACGGACAGAGGCGGCCGGCGCCCGAGGCATTCCATCCTTTCTGTAGGGAAAGGAGCCTTTATTTACTATTTTGTATTTATATATGATGAATAAGTATATAAACAGAAACGTGTACACAGACTCCGATCACCTACCAAACCAAACACGAGGGCCGCCCTCCCCGGTTCTGGGGGCCCCTCAAGGCCACGTTCAACCCTCAAGTGCTCTCACACTCGGGACCTGTTTCAAGTCAAAACTCTTTCTCCTTCCTGGGGCCTCGGCTCCTGGAGGGCTGGAGGGTCTCGTCTGAGGATGGGAGGAGGCTCTCGCTGGACGTCTGGCCTGTGTGCTGGTGGACGGATGCCCACGTGGTTTTGGAGGACCTGATGACCAGGCGTCCTGCGAGTCCGCCCGCTGGCCCACTGTGCCCATCTGGGACTTGGCTGCGGACGGTTGGTGCAAGTGTGTCCTGCAGGGCTGGCTGTGCACAGCTGTGGGTTGACCTTTGCAGAGCTGTGTGGAATCGTTTGCAATGTGATAAAAGTGCAATAAAGGTACAGCAGATGTGTGTCGGCCTCACGGGGCGGGTCCCTCACACCCTGGTGTGTGGCTGCCTATCCATCCCCTCTCCAAAAAGCCAGTCCTGGAACCAGGCACGGCCGAGAGTCGGCATTCAAGGTGGCCTGGACCCGAGGCCTGCTGGAGCGGGAGGGGGCTGCTTGCCAAGCGCTGGTGCAAACAGGCCAGGTGAGGCCCCGCCTCCAAGACAGGGTGGTCGGTCCTGGACTGCTCTCAGAGGATGGGGCCGCCACCCAAAGCCACGGCGGCCCCGAGGGTGCCCCCTGTCGATAGCCCTGGCAAGGTGCGGCTCCTGGTGTTCCAGCAGGACTGGGCAGCCATGGCTGGGCACGGCGGGGCAGCTGCTCCGGGGCTGTGGTGAGCGAGGGGTGACGTGAATGGTGCCAGCCCCTTCCCACTGCAGGCCTCTGGCCTGGGAGCCCCTGGGAGGCCCCTGGGGAGACTCTGGGCTCCTTCCAACAAGCCCCAGGAAGGCCCAGCCCCGGAGGGAGCAAGGAGAGCTTGTGGGCCAAGGGCGCCGAGAGTCCCGGAGGTGAGAGTGTGCAAGTCACAGCTCCTGGGGGCAGCCCCGCTCCTGAGCCGTTTCCTCAAGGTCACTCCCGAGCCACTTCCTCGGGGCCACTCCTCACCCTGTGGCCACCGTTCTCTGTGCTGCACGCCCACCAAGCCACCAACGTCAATCGTTACTCGTCTCTGAAGCAAAACCGCAAGGTTGGTTTTATTTTTCTGGTTTTACAGATGGAGAAACTAAGGCTCAGAGAGGGAAAGTCTCCCAGTCCCTACATCAATTTCGGTTCCTGGAACAGCCCACCCAGTACTTGAAGCCCCATGAGCTGGGAAGAGGTACAGAGGCCCCACCTGGACCCCCGAGTGCCCCGGGGCTGAGTTGAGGGTGGGGCAGGCTCCCCCAATGGCCAGACTCACAGACGACTGCAGACTCCTCAAAGGAAACAAGCAGATGACGTGAGGAAGCCCTCCAGCGGGTTCCCCGGCCTCCCTGCCTCAGTGCAGGGCCCAGCCCTCCCTGGGGCTCAGCCTTCCTTCCATAACTGTCCCACACGTTCCATAACTGGCCCCGGCTTCACAGCTGCACTTGCCACACACTCAGCTCTGGCCTCTCGCCATTTTCTCCCAGCCGAGGGACTCAGCCAACCCTCGCCTCTTCTTCTCCCTGCCCTGAGGACCCCCAGAAGCTGAGAGGAGTAAAGTGGGGGCTGTAGAGATGGGGCTGGGCTCCCGGGTCAGAGTCTCCCCTGCTGGCACTGTGTGAGGGGCAGAGGCAGGAGCCACCATCCTGGCTGCCACCTGCCCAGGGTCACATGGCCCAGGAGCCCCAAGAAATCAGCTGTGGGGCCGGTCACTGTGGCCCCCTCTTCTAAGAGTCTCTGCATACACTCACCTGTCCATTCCACAGTGTCCCTGACACCCATTGAAGCTGTGCCAGGCTGGGTGCAGCATGGCCTGAGAGACTCAACTCTGTCCTCATCACCTTCGCCTTGCAGAGCAGTGGGAGATACACAGTAAATGCACTGACGGGTCACAAACAGGACCCTGCACACAGCAAGGAAGGCGGTGAGGGCAGAGGATGAGCCGGGCAGACACTGTGTGTGGGGCAGCCAGGGAGGCGCTGTGGCCCCATCAGTCAGTGGCTGGAGGTGGCCCCACCACGTCTCTGCTTGAGACTGAACCACAAGAGGGTTTGGGTGGCCCCAGTCCAATCTGACGAGGGCCCTTATGAGGAGAGGAGACCAGGACACACCCAGAGGGATGGCCCCGTGAGGACATGGAGAGGATGACATCCATGAGCTGCGGAGAGGCCTGGAGGAACCAGCCCTGCCACGCAGGGACCTCGGACTCCAGCCTCCGGGACCATCTGTGGTTGAAGCTGCCCCGTCCATGGTGCTGTCACAGCGTCCTGAGTGGAGTCACGCAGCCTCCAGGAGGGGCTTCAAGGGGCCTGAAGGAGGGAGGCAGTGATGCCAGGAGCAGGGCCAGGGGCACGGGTGGAGAAACACAGCAGCCGTGCCCACCCTGCCATGTGGGGCTGGCCCAGAAATGCCAGTGTTGGGACCCACGGCCATGATAGAATTAAGTTAGTGTTTAAACAGACATGCCCCAGAGTCTGGACTGATAGAGGGGAGTGCTCCGTGCAGAAGCAGCTGTCGCCGTCATCCGGCCACCACCGCCAGGGTAGCAACCGCAGGGGAGGGAAGGTGCGCAGATTCCAGGGCCCGGGAGAGACCAGCAGGACCTGCTACGGGACTGGAGGCGGGGAGAAGAGAAGGAGAAAGTGTGACCTCCAGGACCTGACTTCAGTCAGGGCACGGGGCACCCTTCACTGTGGGGTGTTGGGGGAAGACCCAGAGGGGCAGAGGAGAGGCGTGCGGAGTCCCCACAGGCACCAGATGACAGCGGGGCTGGGTATAAAACATGGTGCTGCCAGCACGGAGCCAGAACACTGAGGAGGGCGGCACGAGGCCCATGACAGCTCATGCACGGCTGGAGTCTGGGTAAGTGGAGGGACAGCAAGGGTGGAGCTGATGGTCCAGACAGAGCGGACGGCCCTTTCTGTCCACTATGGAAAGACACACAAGAACCATCACACGTGTGAGCGCCTTTGGCATGAGAGACACAAAACCACAGGGAAACACGTGGTGTGGAGACTGTGCTGAGAGCAGAGATGTGGAGACAGCAGAGATGAGGAGATAGCAGAGAGTGGACGAACGAGGAGGGCTGGGGACAGCATGAGGTCCAGGAAACAGGAGGGGCTCTCATGCACCAGCATGGGTGGAGAAATGAAACAGGATGAAGCCTCAACAGAAGGAACAGGAGACGAGACTGAGGAAGGTACCAGAGAGCAGCGAGGGAGACCAGTGGCTGGAAAATGAGAAAACAAAACCACTGAGGCCCCGGCAGCCTCCCCAGTGCTGACCAGCAGGGGGCACACGGCGGAGAAGAGGAAGCGGGGAGAAGAGGAAGCGCAGCAGCCCCAGTGCTGACCAGCAGGGGGCACACCGCAGAGAAGAGGAAGCCACAGCAGCCCCAGTGCCACCAGCAGGGGGCACACGGCGGAGAAGAGGAAGCGGCAGCAGCCCCAGTGCTGACCAGCAGGGGGCACACCGCAGAGAAGAGGAAGCCGCAGCAGCCCCAGTGCTGACCAGCAGGGGCACACTGCAGAGAAGAGGAAGCGGCAGCAGCCCCTTGCGGCTGACCAGCAGGGGGCACACCGCAGAGAAGAGGAAGCGGCAGCAGCCCCAGTGCTGACCAGCAGGGGGCACACCGTGAGAGAGAAGAGGAAGCTTCTTCGCAGCAGCCCCAGTGCTGACCAGCAGGGGCACACGGCGGAGATGGGAAGCCACAGCAGGCCCCAGTGCTGACCAGCAGGGGGCACACGGGGCGAGGCGTGAAGCTACGGCAGCCCCAGTGCTGACCAGCAGGGGGCACACGGCGGAGGCGTGGAAGCCACGGCAGCCCCAGTGCTGACCAGCAGGGGGCACACGGCGGAGGCGTGGAAGCCAAAGCAGTCCCAGTGCTGACCAGCAGGGGGCACACCACAGAGAAGAGGAAGTGAGGAAACGGAAAGAGAGGGTTGACCTGAGCTGAAGGACATGAACTTCCAGATGAAATAGCCCCAGGGCTGGGCATGGTGGCTCAGGCCTCTAATCCCAGCACTTTGGGAGGCTGAGGCAAGAGGATTCCTTGAGTCCAGAAGTTCGAGACCAGCCTGGGCAACCCAGTGAGACTCCCCCATCTGTACAAAAAAATACAAAAATTAGCCAGACACAGTGGCTCACACCTGTAATCCCAGCTGCCCCAGAGGCTAAAGCAGGAGGATCACTTGAGTGCAGGAGGTCGAGGCTGCTGTGAGCTACGATTGCACCACCGCACTCCAGTCTGGGCGACAGAGTGAGACTGTGTCTCAAAAAAAGAAAAAGAAAAAACGAATAATTAAAAGTAAATAAATAATCCCGGTTTCTAACAGAATAAAAGGAAGGTCAGCAGAAAGGCCAGGACGGCCCGAAGGAACTTCAGTGCTCTGGCGTGGGAGGTTCCCGGGTGAGGAGAGCCTAGTTCCAGCTCCGGAACTGGAGCACTTCTGCCTCCCCCACGAGAGAGCTGGGGCTGCAAGGTGGAGCCATCACTTCTGGACACCAGGCCAATGGACCTCCCTGCAGAAGCACAGAGGTGAGGGCATGAAGTCACATTCCACACACAGGATCTAGACACGGCTTGTGGCCCACGCACCGGAAACCAGGATGTGCATCAGGGAGGAGGAGGAATGGGGCACAGTAGGGGGGCAGAGGCCCCGGGTCGCTGACGAGAGGACCCCCCAGGGGAATATGGAGACAGGAGCAAGAGGACCCTGCAGAGAGGGGTGGGCGCCCACCCAGAAAAACAAGCCAGGGGAAGAGGTGAGGCTCCTGGTACGGCCAGGACACCATGGCTCAGCCATGAGTGCGGCCACAGACGCATCATAACAGGAGCACCCAACGTCGTTTTTCCATAAAGAAGAAGGCGATATCACCATATTGGGGAAGGGAGTGTTTGAGTGGGGAGATGTTGAGCTGCGTCATAAGCCTGTTATTTGGAAACACGGAGGTAAATACAAAAATCAAACACACCCAGCAAAACGAAGAAGGTGACTTTCTCTGGGTCCTTGCCAGGGGCAGGAGGGGCAGGGCCTGCTGCGTTTCATGATTGCGGTGCCATTTCAGACTTTTTAAACACTATCCACTGGCGTGGTGCTATTTCAGACTTTTTAAGCACTATTCACTGGTTTGGTACAAGGTCAGAATGCAGTTTGGCACCCACCGGCGGGTCAGAGCTGACGGCCTCCCGGGGAGGGGTCAGCTCGGCCCCACGGCAGCCCTGGTGCACGCCCATAGTGAGGCCTGAGTTCATCTTACCTGCTTTGCTCCTCAGTTACTCAGGGATAGGAATCGTGGCCCTGTGTGCCCACGTCACAGCTGTGTAAACCAGGGCTCAGACGGTGGGACGACTTTCTGGAGCTCAGTA